TAAAATGTCATGATAAATTCAAAGTACAACCGATTCAAATACGTTTAGGATTTTTTGATAATTGAGGATTGAAACTCTTTTTTTTTAAAAAGCCTTGACGATTAGATAACCTAATTTAACACTTTCGACCTATGCTTCTGTCTTCAGATACCATTTTCAACAATATCAGCTATAATTTTTTCTAAAGTTTACCTCAGATACTGTTAAAAATGTTCAGAAAAAAAAGCTGTTGCTCAATTTCGAAAATAAAAAAACTTTTTTTGCAACTATTTTTAACCGATCTTGTCAGCTGTGCATTAGTCTTGAGACCTAAGATTTGTTTGCTAAACAACAGCTATATGTAGAATCCATGAGTGTATTACCTTATAGAAGATGTTAGATGGATGATCAGATTGACCACAGTTTGGAGTGATTGTACGACAGCAAAAGTCTGGCACATGCATCATGTAAAGCTGGTTCAAAGCATCGGTATCATTATTAGCGTTTTGCCACCACATCGAGTTCCTCCAATCTTCAAAATCGACAGCACCACAACATCGGCCCTGGAAAAACCGTTCAATACTGTTAAAGGTTTCACATCTACGACAAAAAGCATGCAATTTTATTCTCCTGTAATTGTATAGAAGATGAAACACTAATTTTGCTACTGGTTTTTTTTTCTCTATAGATATAAACTTATAGTTTTTATAGCCATTCCCTAATGTACCTATCCTCTGTATGACAAAATTCTGTTTTCTTTTTCTACTCCACTTGCAATTTTTTACAAATATTTTTTAGATATTTATAGCAGAAAAAAAGAAATGAAAAATAAATAAAATTCAAAAAGAACAATCTTGGCTTGCTTATGTTTTTTTATTTCTTTTTTTCTATACATTGTTTTCTTTGAATTCTTTTTTTTTTTTAAAGCATTTACTGTGATCATTGTACTACTCAATTTTTATTTTTATTTTTATTTTTTGCTTCTTTTTTCTTTTTAAAATTTTTTATTGAGACCTTTAAATGCAATTTTTCAATGGCATAGCTTTTGGTGGCCACAACTGAATGGTCGACAATAATAGCAGTCTGTAATGATTCAGCTAATGTCGCCTGGAAATCCTGTTTAAAATGCTTGTAAATGTAACATGTCAAAGCCACTCCACAACCGCAGATGAAAAAGGCCATAAGGATGTGCTGAAAACGAAAAAAAAAAAAA